CTGGGTGCGCGCACACTCACACACACACACACACACACACACACACACACACACACAGAGCCGCCCAGAGTGGAGGCCAGCCAGGCCAGACCCAGCTTGGGGCAAAGATGAGGTGGCGATGAGCTGAGCAGTTGTGAGGCTGGCCAGGGTGACTCAGGGCCGTGGGCATCAGCCCTGGGATCGCCAAGCCTCTGGCAGAGGCAGCTTGAGGAGAGGGCGGTGCCACTGAGCTGAAGCTGGCCACCTTGGCACCGCAGGAGCAGCAGCCGCCGGTGGGCAGTTACCTACCGGGACTCCTCAGCTCCCTTGGCTTGGAGAATAGTACCTAGGGTCAGATGGGCACTGTGCCACCCAGGGGGCCTATGGGGGCCAGTCCACGTTTGCCAAGTAAATGTTCCCAGCTTCCCCTGAGTGCTGGGCGGGAGGCAGAGGTGGGTGAGGAATGAGTCAGTGCCCGTCACGGGAATGAGGGAAAGACGCCAGGCCCAGAGCTGAAATACCTGTTCCGAAATGGCTTCTATGTTTATCTCTCTGGAGAGGAATTTTAAAAGCCTCTCTCCGCTGCTTCTCTCTCTCTCTCTCTCTCTCTCTCTCTCTCTTCCCTGGGGTGGGGGAGGGGCTTGGGAAGCCTATCCCTGACACTGACTTGCGCCTGCTAGGCCAGACCTCTGTGGGGTACGTTACGTGGGCAGCGGGTACCCACCATGGCTGAAGGCCTCTGGGCCTAACCCCTGCCCTTCCCCTCCCCCTCCGCCCCCGCCCAGGCGCAAAGCTTTGGTCTGAAGCAAGTTGGCAGCCACTCTGCTGAGTCTCTAGCTGGCAGGGCTTGGGGGAATTAGAGAAGCTGACCCGCTCCGAAGAGGGGATGGGGTGGAGGCACTTTCCCCCCTCGCTCGGACCCCACCCAGGCTGGAGCCAGGTGTCTGGGGCTGGGGGGAGGAGGGGTGGGCAGTCAGGCTGGAGCTTGTGCGGCCTGGGGGGAGGGGAGCCGGCTCCGCCTCTTGTGGCAGGGAGGGAGAGGCCCTCCCAGAACCTCCCTGGGCCAGGTGGGAGTGGGCTGGCGGAGATAAAGGTGTTTGGAGTGCTCTGAAAGAAGTGGACCCGGGCATAATCTTGAGTAGCTAAGAGAGGAGCTTGGGAAAGAATGATGAAAGGTTCCACTTAAAGGACCAAGGGGCCTGGGCGCAGTTGGAAGCCGGGAAACTTGGCGTCTTCCTGGTGGGCCCGGGAGCCCTTTAAGGGCAGTGAGAGAAGGGAAGAGCTAGCTGTGTTGGGTGCCTGCCGAGTGCAGGTCCGGTGACGACTAGGCGGCCCTGGGTCAGCTCCCCTGAGGGCTCACAGCATTTGCAGGAGCCAACCGCCTGGACAGTGGGAGAATGATTTATGGGTAGTAGGGATTGGAAGGGATTGGAGAGGGAGGGAGTTACGGGCTCTCCAGAACCCATCCTTGCGTAAATATCAGGGTGGGATGGGGGAAGTGCTTTGAAACCTGAAAGATAATGGGTGGAAGCTATTTGAAGGATTAATAGGAAACAATGAGGGTGAGGAGACTGTTTGGAGATGGTGGGACCATAAGAAAGACAATCAAGCACCATCGATATGGGGGCTTGAGAGTTTGAAAGAATCTTTGGGGTGGGGGGTGGCATCCCGTGTGAAAGGGTCATGTTAACACCTGGAGGCTCAGGCTCTGGTCTGGTTCCGAGCGACCACCTGCTTCTTCCCTTCCTGTGCGTGCCCAGGTTCCGGAGTGAGGACTACACGGTCCACGTCCAGCTGAATGACTACCTGGACATCATCTGTCCTCATTATGAGGGCGACTCTGTGGCGGATGCGGCCATGGAGCAGTACACCTTGTACCTGGTGGAGCAGGAGGAGTACCAGCTGTGCCAACCCCAGTCCAAGGACCGGGTACGCTGGAAGTGCAACCGGCCCAATGCCAGGCTTGGCCCCGAGAAGCTGTCTGAGAAATTCCAGCCCTTCACACCCTTCACCCTGGGCAAGGACTTCAGGGAGGGCCACAGCTACTACTACATCTGTGAGTGCCCGGGAGACACACACCCAAGTGGGCGCCCTCGGTGGGGAGAGGGTCCCTTTCAGTGCTGGGAGTCTATTCATTCATTCATATTTCAAGTGCGTCCCGGGTATGTAGTGAGCACTGGGCACCCTGCTTGGCTCGGCAGGCACAGAGACCCTCGAGGGCGCTGGAAAGAGACTCACAAAAGTGACTGGGCCATTAGGACACACAGACCCCCGGGGAGATGACTGGGTCACTGGCCGGCTTGGAGAGCTCTTTGGAGAAGGTGACTGCAGAGCGGAGGGCAGGCAGAGCTGGCTAGGTGTGAGCGTACAGATGCAAAGTGAACACCAGTCCAGGGAGCCCCGGGTGTGTCAGAAACACTCTGCTCTCCGGGGTTTGAAATCGCTGACATGTTGGAAGGTGGATCACCAGGCCTTTCTTGTGAGGCACCTCTGGGTGGACTCCAACCACCGACCTTCCCAACCCCTGGGTGAGCAGCCCAGTGCCCACCTTCGGGGCACTGAAAACAAAGTTAGCCTGGCCAGAGTGGGAGGAGTATAGAGGGTGGGGAGCAAAGAGCTTGGAGGGCCTAAGGAGATCTAAGGAGAACTTAGGGTAGTCAATGGCTGGGTTTTAAGGGTGAGCACATCAGCTCTGTGAAGGATGGGCTGCGGGACTCATGCTGGGCGTAAGGGCGGGAGAGCCCAGGGAAGAGGAGCCCCTCCTCTTACTCAGGCCAGGCCCGGCAGTGGAGGGGGAGTGGCCTGTGTGGGGCATAGGCACTGTCCGCGCTCTGTTGTTCACCACTGCCAACCACAGGAAATAAAACCGCCCTAGAGTCATAGTGGAGAACCCATTGGGCTGCTAAGTACAAGGTCAGCAGTCTGAAACCACTAGCTACTCCTTGGGAGAAGGATGAGGCTCTCTACTCCGTGTAGAGCTACGGTCTCGGAAACCCACAGGGGTAGTTATACCCTGTCCTATAGGGTCCCTAGGACATGCCAGATAACTCCCACCAAAGCTGAGGGCTTTGCCGAGAATGGGCACTTGGACTGAATATTGGACAGGAGATGAGCGAAAACTAAGGATGATAAGGATTGAGACAGAGGTGTCAGAGGTATGTATTTAGAGGGGAGCCTTGGTGTCATAGTGGTTACACGTTGGGCTGCTAACTCTAAGGTCAGCCGTTCGAACCCACCAGCTGCTCTGCAGGAGACACACAGGGCTTCCCATTCCCTTAGACTTACAGTCTCAGAAACCCACAAGGACAGTGCTACCCTGTCCTATAGGGTCCCTATAAGCCAAAATCAATTTGACGGCAGTGAGTGAATGAGAAGTATTTGGAGCTTATATTTTCTTCCCACAAAGAGTCCTTCCTTAACCCCCTGGGGGTTTTACCTTGCAGCCAAGCCCCTTCGCCACCACGAAGACCACTGCTTGCGCTTAAAGGTGACCATCAACGGCAAAACCAGTGAGTATCTGGGCCCGTGGACCTCCCTGCACATAAGTCAGCCCCACTTCCCCATCACCGCCCAGGTACAGTGACTGATCTAGTGCCACTCTTTTTGTCTCTCAGCTCACAGTCCTCAGGCCCACACCAACCCACAGGAAAAGAGATTCCTAGCAGGTGGGTAGCAGAAGCAGATCAGGGAGCTGTTGGGGGTGGCGGGGTACAGGAAGTGGGTCCTGGAGAAATATCTTTGGGTTGAAGACTAGTGTCAGCAAGGGGACCACTCAGCATGGGACCTGGGCTCTCTCTCCCACATTGCAGATGACCCACAGGTGCAAGTTCTGCATAGCATCGGCGACAGTGCGGCCCCCCGCCTCTCTCCATTTGCCTGGGCAGTGCTGTTCCTGCCACCGCTGCTGCTGCAAGCCCCATGAAAGGCGAACGCCACACCTGGCTTAAGGATTGGCACTGGATTGAGGGGGCAGGGGCAGGTACCTCTCACCTGTCTTGTGACAGCTCCTACACCCCTAGCCTTGGGAACCATTCCCACCACATGCACAAGCTGCTACCCAGCAGCCTCGAAACGGGTCAGTATTAAGGGTGTCAACCCAAAGGAGTTCGGCCAGCCTGGCTGTGCCCTCGCTGCCTCCACCTCAGAAGGATGGGAAAGAGAAACGAGGGAGAGCCTTCTGTGACTACGACGTTCCTGCCCTGAAGCCAAAGCAACAAGCTGTGCAGACAGGGCCCCCCGAAAAGGACCCAGAAGCACCTAGCCAACAGGTGCCTGGGGTCATGGATGGATGGATGCTGAGCTTGGCAGAGGTGCCTCTCCCAGAGAGAGCCAGGATGCCCAGATGAACAAAGAACTGAGCAACAGTTTCCTGCTGGGAAGCCAGGGGCTGGAGAAGTGACCTGTCTGGGCTGACCCAGAGTCCCCTGCGAGACTTCCATCTGGGGCACTACCACTGGGTACAGCATCCTTTCCCCTCCCCAGGGGCAGCAGGCCCCAGAGCTGTGCCAGCAGGGGGCTGTGCCAACCTGTTGTTAGACTGTCGCTGGAAGGGCAGTGCCCATGGGTACCAAGTCTGTGCCTAGAGTGTAGCCTGCCGGGCAGGGCCCACATGCACAGTGTCTATATATATATATATATACTTCCTGTATGTCTGTGCTGATTTCTACAACTGGAGTTTTTATACGGTGTCCTTTGTCTCACAATAAAAGTCATGTGTATTTTGTTTGTTTGGCTTTCTCGGACATGCTCTTTCTTCTCCCTTGCCAGCTTATTCAGTCACATGTCTTGAGTCCCTGCTGAGTTGAGTGCCAGTCTCTCTAGGACACCTGTGGCCACTGGCTCTCACTTCCTTTCTTGACTTGCTCAAGGAGAAGAGTTCCTGTTAGGCCAAAGCAGCAGTGTTTCCCCCTCTGAGGGGTGTCCAGGGTGTCCAGAGTAGTCTCTCAGGTTCTAGGCTGCACCCCAGTTTGCAAGTTCCTGCCCACCCTCTGCACCACTCCCACCCCGTCAGCACTAGGCGCTGGCATATGGTTCACACACTCAAGCTGTTTGGGTGAGTCAGGGCAGCCACTCAAGGGAATGCCAGCGGAGGCACGCGGCCTGCCCCACCAGTGTGTGGGAGGCTGGGAGGGGAAGTTCCCGGCGGTACGGAGGATGGAGTCCAGGGTCAGTGACGGGATTCAGTGGAGGAGTAAAGGTGACCATCTGATCAAGTCTTGCATCACCGACTGACTCACGGAAGGCCGGGCTGAAGCAGCAGCAAACTGGGGGGTGAGAGTCCCAACCCTGGGAAACTGAGGTTCTGAACTGGAGCTCCGGGTGAGAGGAGGGGCTTGCCATCTGTGCGGGTCATGTGGTCTTTTCTATTGCTGTCTGTCTGCCAAGTAGACTTCGGCCCCGTGGGAGCGGCAGGGTTGAAGTGGAGGGCAGAAGCTGGCTAAGGTATGGCAAGGATGGCTCAGGCGGGCACCACTTGAAGGTAGAGCCACAGCAGCTCTTAACCATGCCGTTTCCGTTACCGGCTATGGAAGCGATACGTTTCACGTTTGACAGTCTCCGTGGGACAAGGCAGCCTGTGATCTTGCGCTGCCTGCCACGCATGGAAAGAAGAAACCGAGGGGAGCAATAATAAAAGTGACATGGAGCACAAGTGAGGTCATTGCCATCGATGAAAGCAAGGAAGGTGCCGTAATGTGCTAAGTGATTTTTTGAGTTGATATTTTGGAAGATTATTCAAAAGATGGGGGTGTCCAATGTTTGGACAAGGGCGGAGATGCGTTAGGCGCGATTTCCCAGAGATACACTTCCGGCTGAGGGTCTAGGTGACCATAGGGCTAAGTAAGCATGAGTGTGAGTAAAGTGTGAGCGTGGAGATGAATTCGTGGACCCCTGGGGCTGGGTCCGACCGGGATCTGGAGGGCAAGGTCAGGACCTGGAACCCTGTGCACCGGCAGGCAGCGAGTCCGCCCGGGCCGCACCCGGCGGGGCAGGGCCCGAGTTCCGGTTTGGCGGAGTAGGGGCAGCACGGGTTCCGGTTCAGTTTCCGGGAGGGACGGCCGGAGCGTGAGGGGCGGGGCCGAGTGTGCGGGGGGGCGGGGCTCCGGCTCGGCCCGCCCGCCCGCCCGAGCCCAGCTAAGCAGCGCGCCGCCGACCGGACGCGCGCGGGCTCGGCCTCCCGGAGCGATGGCAGCTGGCGCCGTGGTCGACTCGCTCCTCTCCGGAGCCTGTGTGGTCTTCACCCTCGGCATGTTCTCCACCGGCCTGTGAGAGCGCGGCCGGGCTGGGCTGGGGCAGGACCAGGAAGTCAGGGCAGAAGAGAGGGGCAGACACTTGCCCGCAGCCCCAGTCAAAGTGAAATCGGGTCTAGGGGACCCGGGAACCGGGGCGTGGCCACGTGATCTAGGGGAAACCGCTAGGGAGCGGGGGACAGGTCCGGATGGGACTGGGCACTGGAGGACTCAGGGTCTGCCGTGACCCTGGGAGGATTCCAGGTATGGGTGTGCAGAACCCCACCCCCTCTAACGCCCCAGAACTTCCTTCTCACCCCGTTACCCTTCTTTGGGGGGCCCTGTTGCAGCTCGGACCTCAGGCACATGCGAGTGACCCGGAGTGTGGACAACGTCCAGTTCCTGCCCTTTCTCACTACGGATGTCAAGTGAGAGGCGCGACGACTAAGGCGGGGAGGGGAGAGGGGGCAAGAGTGGAGAACAGCCCCACCGAAGAGGGCCTTCAAGTCGAATGTATGATGTCCCTCCCCCCCCACCCTGCAGCAACCTGAGCTGGCTGAGTTATGGGGTCTTGAAGGGAGACTGGACCCTTATCAGCGTCAACGCCGTGGGCGCTGTGCTTCAGACCTTGTATATCCTGGCGTATCTCCACTACTGCCCTCGCAAGGTAGAGGCCCTCCCGGACCCACCTGTGCTATGCCCCGCCTAGCTGCCAGAGCAAACACCCCTTCCTAGAAGACTAACAGCTGGCACTGCCACCTTTTCCTGGAAGGTCCCTGCAGCCCCTCCTCTCTCCACAAAGCCAGGTTTCTGAGACTCCCATTGTCCCCGAATCTGGCAAAGCTGGGAGCTGGGCCTACCCCCATGGTTCCTGGGCTGCCCTGAGCTTCTGCCCCAGCAGCTGGACAGAGGGCCTTCTTTGCCTCTGATAGCTCCTCCCGAGGTTGGGCGGACCAGTGGCTGAGGACAAGATGGTTAGCTCTGCCTTCTCGTGAAAGTTCAGGGACACAACCGTCTATTAAGCTCACAAAGTACCCTGCCTTCCCTGGAGACGTCCAGTGTTGTGAGTGGCTCACACATAATTCCAAGTCACCGGTGGGAAGGAGGCTGTGGCAAGTGCAATTACTGGAGCCTTGGACAGAGGCTGGCTCTCCTCTCCCCGGGGAGGCTGGGAGAGAGCAGATGAGTTCATCAGCAGGGGTCAAGAGTAGGCTCCTGGCACCTGGAGAAGAAGTAAGGCTACTCTCTCTCCCCGCAGCAAGCCTTGCTCCTACAGACTGCCACTCTGCTGGTGGTTCTTCTCCTGGGTTATGGCTACTTTTGGCTCATGGTGCCTGACCCTGTCACTCGACTTCAGCAGCTGGGCCTCTTCTGCAGCGTCTTCACCATCAGCATGTACCTCTCACCACTGGCTGACTTGGTAAGTGAGGGTGGCCTCGAGGGTGGCATGGATCAGAAAGAAGGGTTAGGATCCCGTAGCCAGTGACTGGGTTACCCCCAGAAGGAGGAGTCCAGGGGGAATGGGAGGCAGGAGGAAAGGGTCGAGGGATAGGAGATGAGAGAGGACGTTTAATCTTTTTCCTGGGGAAACGCTTAGGCTAAGTCCACCTGCAGGCTGTGTGTCTGGGCTAGGAGAGGGACCTCATCTTCCAGAGACCTCTGGCCAGGCTTTGTCATTTGTCCTTTCCCGCAGGCCAAAGTCATTCAGACCCAGTCAACGCAGCGCTTCTCCTACCCACTCACCATTGCCACCCTCCTCACCTCGGCCTCCTGGTCTCTCTATGGGCTTCGCCTCAGAGATCCCTACATCATGGTAAGCAGAACAGGAATGGGCGACTGGCCTGCAAGGTGGAAACCCAGCTCCTCGCTTCACAGTGGCCTTCCGATTCCAGGTGCCCAACCTCCCAGGAATCTTCACCAGCCTCATCCGTCTCTGGCTTTTCTGGAAGTATCCCCAGGAACAAGACAAGCACTATGGGCTCCTGCAGACCTGAGGTGTCTCACTTGACCTCTGGCCACCTTCACGGCAATCCAGTACCAAAGAGAACCCTTCCTGGTGCCCAGCTCCACGAGCAAAGTGGGTGGCGGGAAAGAAAGAGGGATGACTGTGACTAGAAATAGCTTTACTTCGAAGACAGGGTGGGACTTGGGAGAGGAATCGCCTTTTATATCTTAAAGATTATTTTTTTGTAATTTCAGAGGTTGGGGTGATAGCTTTCAAATGTGCCTTGGAATAAATCGTTCCTCCTCCATGCTACCCATCACAGCTCATTCCCTCCTTGGTGATTCCCAGCCTGCCTGGTTTGATGAAGGACGCGGTGACCGGGCAATTCTATTGGCAAGGGAGGGATACACTGCCTGATCCACAGTTATTTTAGAGCTCAGCTCAAAAGAGAGGCTTGGTGGTGCAGTGGCTTCAGCACTGGCCTGCTTATAGAGAAGTCAGCTGTTCAAACTGCAGTGAGTTTGTGAGGCTTTCAAAGGTTGGCTCAGGAGTGAGTCTCTGGTGGTGAAAATAGGTTGTTTACGACTAGCTTGATGGTTGGAACCTACCCAGAGGTACCTCTGAAGATAAGCCCAACAATCTGCTTCCCAAAGGCCACAGCCTTTAAAAAAAGAAAGAAAAAAACTGGGCACTGGTCTACTCTGCAAGGCATGGCGTAGCCAGGAATTGGAATCAACTGGGTGGCAATTAATGACAGCAAGGGTAGGAACAACAACAAAAAAAAAACCCCACCCCCCACCCCTACGACGTTGGGAAGACTCCCCACCCCCACCACCAAGACCTTGGAAAGACTCAGAAAGGACGCAAACAGAATGGAGATTGGCTTTTATTACGGATAATACAGTTGAGGCATCAGGAAGTGTTTTCTGACAGGGTCAAGAGGGCCAGGAAGATGGAATGACATCTCCATTCTGAGAGATCTGGAGAGGAGATCTGGGCCTCCGGTCCAGAACAGGGATGCCAGCAAGAGGCAGCTGGAACCGCGCGCGTCTCCACTGCTGACACATATCCCTAATCACCGTTCTCCACACTGAAACCCAACCACGTACAAAATGCAATGGGGGCTGGAAGGGGGAGCTGCCGGGGTGGGGGTGGGGCACGTTAGAAGAGCAGACCCTTGCGGACCAGGTCGGCGCGGGCCTCCTGGATCTGAGTCTGCAGCTCCAGGGCGGCGTCCTCGCAGTCATGAAAAGTGGCCACGCGATAGCCCACGGTACCCAGGGCAAAGCAGCCGACGGTCACGAGCAGATAGGCGGGCAGTGGCCACAAGACCTCCCGGCAGGTCAGGGGCAGCTCCAGGCCCAGGGTGGGGCCCATGGTCAGGGCCGCCCAGGTGGAGCCCAGGAGCGCCAGACCCCACAGCCACTGCGCTAGCTTCGTCATGGTCCCTGTAGGTAGAAAAAAAAAAAGCAAGGCTCGGATTCCGGATGCCCCCGCCGCCCGCCCGTCATCCCCGGTGCGCTTGAGACCTCTGCCCAGTCTTCGCACTCACCCACCGTTCGGATCACCTAGCTCAGCTCCGCTCCTCGGTGATTCTCGATGGCCTCGTCCTCCCCATTCAGCGCTTAACCTACCTCTGGGCTCTGCGTCTGCTTTTCCTCCGCGGCTCAAACGTCAGTGTCCTGAAGTTCTCTACGGCGCATGCTCGGTATCTGCGCGGCCTTCTGGGAATTGTAGTCTTTCTTCCTGGAGGCACGTAGGGGGCCTCTCCAAAGCGACGTCAACGGACGCCGTAAACTACGTACAGGGGCTGCAGAGGCTTCGCGTCCGCTCGCCTTCGCTGCAGATTCTGCTTCGAGCTGCAATTAGCAGATGGCCTGGGGCTACACCCTTCCTTACATTTTGCAACAAATGGGAATGGCACGCTGATTCTCCTTAAATACGGTTCTCCCCCTACAGGATTCCCGTTCATTCATTCACTCACTCATTTGTTTGCTAACTTAACCTTTCATGCATTTATTCCCTCGAACGTTTTCTCCAGCGCCATGAACGATGGGGGTAAAGAGGCTGTCTCGTGGCCTCGGGCTGGAGGGGGAGGGGAGCAGGAGTCAGATTGTCAACTGGCAGTGATGCCTTGAGGTAAGTGTTAGAACAAAATTGCCACGTTTTAAAAAAAGAAACACTGAAAAAAAAAGAAGAAAGAAACACTAGGAAACTCGGAGCAAAAGGATGCACTGGGGGAGGGGTGGTGGGGTGGGGGTGGAGGGTGTTGCCCTTTAGGAAGAACACAAAGGTGCCAGAGTGGCTACAGAAGCATTGAGCTTGTTTTCGTCTCTCAGAGTTTGGGGATGAAAACCACAGAAAAACAAAAGTCTCTATGGGAGTGGAGATGCAAGGCCCATCTGCAAGCAATTGGACATCCCCTCAGAGAAGGGTACTGTATAGAACACCATTCCTCCAGTTCTTTAATGCTTCCTCCCCCAACTATCATGACCCCAGGTCTACCTTACAAATCTGGCTAGATCGGAGCACGTCCACTGGTACAGATAAGAGCTCTGGACACTCGGAATCCAGGACAGATACCTCCCCCGCCCCCCAACAGTAATAGGAGTAGCCATAACATGAGGATAGAAGGAAGGTTGGGGTTGGAGGAGGAGAAAGGGGGAACCGTTTGCAATGATCAATGTATAACACACACACCCCGGGGATGAGCGATGGAAACGTGGTTGAAGGGAGACAGTGGATGGTACAAGACGTGAAAATAATACTTTATAATTTATCAAGGGGTCACAAGGGTGGAAGAGTGGGAGAGGGTGGAGAAAAAAGAGGAGCTGATATCAAGGACTCAAGTAGAAAGAAAATGTTTTGAACATGATGATGGCAACATAGTACACATGTGCTTGACACAATGGATGTTGAATTGTTAAAAGAGCTGTAGGAGCCCCCATAAAATGATTTATTTTTTAAAAAGATCTCACAGTCTAAAGAAAGAAAAAGACAATTTTCAACTTCAGGGGAAACTCAGTGATTAAAAGAGAAGGATAAGAGGACTGGAGACCACCTGTCAGAAAGAGACCCCCTGGGACACACCTTTGGCTGGGCCCCCCCTCCTCACCAAAGGACCCAGTGGCATCTTTGATGGATAGTCCCCTGGGTGGGGGTGGGGCTGGAAAATGAGCACTCTTCATTACTGACCGAAAGTTAGGGGTTCGAGTCTGCCCAGACACACCGAGGAAGGCCCGGCGATCTTCCACAATTTCCATCCAAGCCCACATCAGATCCGATCGCCGCCGTGCCGCTGACGGCGCCCTCAAGGACAGAGCAGAACCGCCCGTACGGTTTCCCAGACCGAGACTCTGGACCAGAGTGGACAGCCCATCTCTCTCCCCTGAGCTATTGGTGGGCTCAACGGCTGAGCTTGCAGAGAAAAGAGACTGAACCCCCCCACCTCCACGGAGCCCAGCTCTGTGCTGGCTGACACTCACGTGGGAGTCGGCCTGAGTTGAGGACTGGCTGCCCTCGGGGCATTGAGTGCAGGTGAAATTGAAAAGAGGCCAAGTTTTCCAAAGGGAAGCAAGACCCACTGAAGGAACCACCAGCTACGACGGGGGCTGAGAAGTGCGCTTGACCCTGCTGGAGAGCTCAGAGTGAAGCTGGAGGAGGAATGTCGTTCGCCAAAGACCACTGTTGAAGCTTGGCACCTGGGTTGGAAGTCAAGGCTGCCACTCTGGGCACAGTCACAAAGCTGGCCCAGGGTCCAGGCAAGCGTGGAATATTCCATTCCCACCACTGTGATTTCAAATGGCCACGTTTGTGAGCTTCTATGAGTCGATGGGACAAGGTTTCCCAAGCCTACGTCCTCCATGTAAAGTCACAAAGCCTTTTTAAAACAGGTTCACAGAGTCTTCGTACAAACACTGCCCAGCTCAGCGGTGAGGAATATTTTCACAGTGTAATAATGTAAACACTGCGTGTTAATTCAACTAACCAAAAGTGGGAGCTATTTAAATTGAGAGGGTGGAGGAGGGAGGGGAGTACATTAGGAGAGCCAGGAAGAGAGAAAATGAAACGCTTATATTCGGCAATGGGAAGTCAATCCACTACATCAAAAG